AAAAGGTGCTGCTGAAGTGGCGGCGTCGAGCTTCGCGTGCAGACGGCCATTGTCTGCCGAACCGCGTCCCGAGGGAAGGACCAGCGGCGAATAACATAATAACGATAATAATAATAATAATAATAATAATAATAATAATAATACGAGCCTGTAATATATACCTGTGTGTGGACAATATGTATATATTTTATGTGAGCCCACTCGGTGAGACGACCTTATCCACCCCACCCCACCCGACCGCCTGCACGGTATATAAAACATGCAAATTATTTTCCGCCTGTCAATTTCGGTTTCGCACCTCAGTTGACGGGCGCGCGTGTACAGTAGTCGTATTATAGATCCTTCCGCCGGTTGCTCTTATAATATATTTCCCACCCTCCGCCGCCATCGGTCGCTCGTAGATCCTTCCCGAGGGAATCTTCCCCGCCGTGACATTTCGATTCCCCCGTTTTTATATTTTTATTTTCTCACGACGTTTTCACCCACACTGCACTTACGCCCAATAATATAACGATAAATATAATGTGTATATATATATATACATATAGAAGCAGATAGAGTGACGGACAGAGGAAAAGGAGAATAGCTGCAGGAGAAGGAGGAGGAGGAGGAGACGTATTCCACGTCACTGCAGTCGATATCGTGACAGTTTCGATACGACAGCGCTGCGAAGGTGATGCGGTGAGGTGTTAGGTATACATATATATTATAAGTATGGGAACAGTACGAGATTATCATACGGCTTGCCGAGGCCCGTGATTTTTATAAAAAGTGCCACTTCCCGATCGATCTCGCACAAACAACTGTGCACGACTTGTATACCTCTGGGACGAGATTTGGTCGGAAAACCGCATAAATAGGTATATAATATTATAGGGTACAGTATAGGTTTGACCGAAGCCACCACTCACTTTTACGTGTGCCAAGCATATACCAAGGTATAAAGTATACACTGCATTTGTAAGCGTCATATTATTATTATTATACCAACATGGGTTGTATAGTATATGCCTCGGTTGACTTAATTGATACATAATAATTAGTCGTTCACACGAAATAATATGCATAAAATCTATAAATGTGCTAAGACCCGATTTTTCAGGAGGAATAAAAACATATAACAAAAATTAAAAATACAAACGGTCAGCAATGATCTACAGAGGCAAATTTTAAAACTTTAAAACTTTATTAATATATGTAACATTCTAATATTTTGAAAAAAAAGAAAACGGAGTATAAAAACCAATATATTATCATAGTCTATACTAGCGGCTTGTATAATAAAAAAAAAAAAAAAACCAATATATATTTTTTAAATATTGTAGGGTTAGGTTAGGTTTTTTGAATGATTCGCGAAAGAATGCGAAAGTAGTTCCCGCGGCGCTGTCGGTTCAAACAGAAAAAAAAGGTTTTTTGAATGATATTTGGTGTCATATTTGATATTATAAAATATGTTTAATACTTTATTCTACACAGAGCGATCAGTTTAAAGTAAAACATTTCTAACATAATGACGAGTTTATTTAATGAGTGTCTTTAGTTAAATAATTCACTCTATTTACTTTTGAACTTGTGTATGAAAAATAAATAAGGTGGACCGGTTACTATATTTTCCAATAATTTCACTAAACTATGTTCTCTTTTATAGTGATAAGATTTTTATGCGGTCTCGATAACGATACTAAAATGTGATGATGTGCACTCTTCTTCGAAGGTATTTTTACAACAATTCGTAAATGATATTTCACCTGAGTATAACCTTTCGGCCGATTGAGTTTTTTAATATAAATAGGCGATAGATGTAATATTTGCAACTATATAGCCTATACATATCGGTGCATTTATTTTACATACGCATTTTCAACTCGACAGCGAATCGCATGTAATATGTATATATTACGTTCTTACAGCTAGCAATGACAATGAAGGCACAAAATGTGCGAAGCTGCCGCCGTCTGAATTATCGGCGGCCGGCCTAAGACCCGAGACAAATCGACGCGATAACGACGTGGAGGTGATTCGTTTTATTATTATTCTTATTTTTTATTTTATTCCTTTCCCGCGGTCCCTTCGCCGCCGTGGTTGGGGAGGGGAGGGTCAAAGATATATATTATTATACATACGACGACTATACCATCACCGCGATTGTAGTCGTTTATGCAAGCAATCGCACGCGCTTATCTACACGCCACTGAGGCAGCCAAAGAATCGCTTTACAATCCTCGCCATTAACCCTATAACACCCTTTCTCCGCCTGCCTCCGCAGTGGCATCACGTCTTTTGTTCTTATCTGCCCCAACGAACCCCCCCCCTCCCCACCCCACCCACGTCCACGCCCACGCCCTCGGCGACCGTAGCACCACTTAATCCGAATGCAAAACCGCCTCGGCAGGGCGCACAAATAGCTTTTTAACATCGCCGGCGTCGCAGTAAACTGCAAATGTGCGTACGCCACACACACACGATCGCACATAATATATACACAGATAGATCGGATGCAACGGCGATGAGACTTAAACCTTCGGCTTTTTTTATTTTTAAGGTCGACCGGTAGAAAGTCTGAGTCTGACATCTACCCCCATCACCCTCAACCCCTCTCCAAAACCAACAAACGCTGCGTAAGCCACACAGAGAATCTCGCGGCCTCCGGGTCCTGCAGCCGCCGCTGCCGTAAAGTCTGCAGTATCCCCAGATAAACGAACGCCGATAGATAACGCGCCCACGTCGAATATACATATTATTATTATACAGATAGAGATGATAATACAAACGGAGGTGGGTAGGTATAGTGTCGAGTGAACGCAAATCCTTTAAAACCGGCCGTTCAGCGTATCTTCACCCGGTCGTTAACACTCCCAAGCTGATGTTCTACTTACCGGTGTTACCGTGTTGGTGTGTATATGAATGATATAGGTAGGTACCTGCAAACCGACGGGATAATATGTCGTTGCAGTGAGCTTTTTTCCTTTCCCTTGGAAATCCGTTACGAATCGAGCAATCGATAAGTGTATATTATATAGGAACCAATATTGTTCATGTTTAAAGTTTTAAACCTCACTATTAAAAAAAAAAAAAAAAACGAAATGTTAATAGTGATTTATGATTCATCTAAATAATAATAATGAAATGCCCGGTTCCCCATCATAACACGAAAGCTGCAGTACATTTCGATTTGGCTCACTTTCTTTCCTAAATGTACGTAATATACTCCAAATGAGGTTTATATGGAAGGAAAGAAAAATAAACGGAAAAGTTGCCCGGATGATAAGAACATTTTGGAAAAACTGGAAGAGATTTTTGAATATTAAAGGCTGTTATTGGTTACATATTATATATTATAATAGGTATAGTAATAGTAACAAATTAGTATTATTTTACATATAATATTTACATAAATGAATACCACTGTTTACATAAAATAATATAGTTTGTAAGCATTCCATTAAAATAAGTTGTTCTAAGGCTAATCCACCAGAAAAGCAACATTAGAAGTACTTCATGTACGTCAGGAACCATTAAAAAAAATGGTTTTCTTTTATTAATAATTAGAACATGCTTAGCATGAGTTTAACAGCAACAAATTTCACAATTTTATTTACATAGCATTGCAGTGATGTCGAAGTCATAATAATCAACAGGAGGTGCTAGTGAAGGCTAAGTGCTAAGTGATAAGTACTACATTTCACCACCCAATCACAAGAAACCTATAATTAAGCTTCACAGACTTCAATGTTTTTTTTTAATTATTTTAATTATTATTATTATTATTATTATAACATTTAATATGGTCTATTATTATTGTTTACATAATTATTTCTACTAAACAACTGAATGGAAGAAATATTTTCAAATCAGCAATCGATAATCTAAATATTGTTAATATGTTTTGTATCGCCCATATTATTCAAAGTGATCATGTTGGTTTTATTTTATTATTTTAGTGACATGCCGGTAGTATACATTTCATTAAATACAATTTTTGAGTTTATATTACATTTTTAATTTATTAAGTGTATGTATTTATTTACTTTTAACTTCCATTTATCTTTCTAGGAACTATAAATGATCTCTTTCAAAATACGTTTTTTCTAACCATTATTTTTATAATATAGAATATTTTTGTTCTATAATCTCTGAAGTCAGAAGATCTCAAACTTTTTATTTTTAATTTTTGTGACCCACAACATAGTAATGGTTGTTTTTTTGTTGATTCATGGATAATCGCTACCTTGGAGATAACTTCTAGTGTAGCAGGATTGTGGTAACACGTCACTCCTCCACTGATCACTCGTAATCCTCGTGGATAACGAAAAAAAGAATTCAATCATCGAACGGTAACTAATCTGCATTTACATTTTGTACCAAAGTAATAAATGTACAATACAGTAGTTAAGTGGAAAATAGTGTATCATCATAATATAAAACTCGTATTTTACAAATACAATTTTCATTTTTATACTCGTATAGTCGTATATATATTATACTTTATAGGTAGTATGTAATCTAATTTAAATTATGTCTCACCAAACATAATATAATTGCAACCATGGTTTGGAAATATCTGCCCTAAAATGTTAAAAAGCTTGAATTCGTCTCTAAAACCTAAGCCACCTGGATCTCGGCTGTAGGTTGGCGATCTTGTCCAAAAATGATAAATTAAAAATTGTGACTTATTAGTTATTACTTATTATACATTTATCTAGTATTCTAACGATGAAATGTTGTAAGTTTCAACACAAATTACAATTAGAGCTGAGTTTTTAGAATAGATCCTGTTGCCGTAAAATGAAACTATCTTTAAAAATGAATCAATTCGAGATCCTAAATTAGATGAACAATAAACTTACCGAAAAATGATAAGCAATTACATGACTTTCGGATTGTCACAATTTTGGTAAACAGTTGAACGATAATAAACTATGACACAATATATTTTATAAAATAAAAAATTGTTTATTTTGGCAGTATAGTTAAATCACCCCTTATATATATTATTATTATTATTTCATCGGTGAATTAGACATACATTTATCATCTTCTCCAATCGTCCCAATGTGCAACTCGTTCGTTTTGGAATCTTCAGAAAAATCGGACATTTCCGATATAGCAAATGTGACCGCTTGAAATAAATAAGAACAATAACTCATAAAAGCTTCAAGAACTATCCAATTGCACTGTTTTTTATATTGCTTGAAAAAATGTTGAAAGTACTCTCCATCGGGATTTGTCAAATTAAAATGATCATTAAATAAATTGAAGAATGATGGATATTCAACAGATTTGTTTATAGGCACTTCAGTGCCTTCAAACTTTACATCCATGATTTTCTGTGTCACATTTTTCCCCGCATTCCAATGAATTTCACAGCCTGTAAGTCTGTACTCAATGGCGTCTTCTATACCATATGATAAAACAATCTCAACCACGTCGTCTGGAGGGTTCTCTTCAAACTTCAAGGTCAATACATTATTAGTGAACCATTCGTTGGGTGTGAAATGGAATTCCATAGTAAATCCCATATATTCTTCTGACCAATTACATCTGATATCTGACAAATGTCTGAAGATTTGCTCATCATGCGGTAGTATGACACTTCTAAATTTATACGAAGTCTCCATGTACACAAGCCAAAAGTCCGGTATTCCTTTTGGTTCTTGTTTACTCGATTCAGGTCTTATTTCCCCTTGTTCGTCATATCGGGGAACTGGCACATCTTCTTCCTCTGAAGATGAACTACTGTATTCACCTTTGGTAGGCTCGTACTTTCCTTGAATTATATCCACTTGCTTGTTAATATATGGCTCGTACACTTTTTGATATTTCAATTTAAGAAGATGAACTTCAGCTTTGAATCTTGATTTAATTTCACTCTGAGCTAAAATCAGATTTTTTAAAGCTCGCACTCGCTTTTTTACTTCTGGTGACATATTTGTTAGTTTGTGTTTGTTCTTCAACTGTGTTTCGCGTATTTTGTAGATCCATTCTTGATCATCGACATAGTCAGAATAATTTGAGGAGGAATCAACAGAGTCGTTTTCTGCAATCATTTTTCACAGTGTCCTTATTTTTATCTTCTGTCAAGATTGTAGGTATCACTAATACTATAAGTTCGTTATGTGTTTCACCACAATCACAAAAATAAATTCAAATGGTTGTCAAAAATAATATTTTATTAGAACAAAATTGATTTTGTAAGCTATCTATTTATAAAAATCAATATTTATGTTGTCATCGTTATAAATATTATTATGAAGTATGTTCAAGTATTATAGTTTTTTATGAAAAAATAAACTAGGTACCTACCTGTTAAAAGTGCACCTAAATATTATGTATTTTTATAATAATATCACATATTTCATAAAAGTATATAACTTTAGTTTTGAAATAAATTAATTTACAAAAATTATTAATCAATTACACTTAGAACCCTGAGAAAAAATATAATAGAAGTATTGAAACAGTAACACATTCATAAAAAATTGTAATGCCTGCCGACGGAGCCATTATTACAACAAAACTATAGCTAAATTGCCTATCTTGGACGCCGTGTGATGATGACTTTCATACAATACAAAAGACAATCGATTAGTATTATACTAATAATATTAATAATTATAGGTATTTTGCGCCGCGGAAGCAATGCGAAAGCAGATCCCGCGGCGTCGTCGGTTATAACGAAAAAAAAGGTATTTACGTATTAATATTGCAATGGAGACTAAAATCTATTCCAGTGGAATTTCATATTATATTGTTCTAATATATGTCACATGACAATCTATGGAGAAGACAGAAGAACATAGATATGTAATGATTTAGTAATAATAGCTGTAATAAATAATAATATACCTACTCATAATATTATCACAAAACTGTCGTGTAATTTAAAGTATACAAACGAAAAACAGTATAATTGCCAAAGAATATTTTTGAACGTGTATATTCTATTACTATATTGATGTATCCTCTGTTAAATGTTCTGTGAATAAAAATATGGTGTTTATAGTACATCTACAATCTATTAGCTAATGTTAACCGACCCCAAATAAGTATAATATTCTAGAACCACGCCTCCTCGACACTGGATACTATAGGTACATTATAAAATTAAAGTCGCACTCGCTTTGTTTAATATTCATTCGCGTTTTTCATAACTGCATTTAGGACTCAACAAAACAAAACAATCGTCGGATTAACGATAAAATAATAATAATAATGTTTATAGCAAACCGCGGGCGATCAACAAGTGCGCGCGCGTTAGATTCACGCCTACCCTCGTTTATCGCATAATATACGGTGCCACAGTAACTCATATCGACAAACGTATAATAGCGATGTATGATATCACGTGATATCACGTGATCGCGTTTATCGGGGCGTTTGGCAAACATTCATTGCGTCATATGCGTAATAGTTGTCACGGAGGTACTTCAATAACGTTCGAGTGCCGCACACACGATGGTTGGTACATATATAGTATAATGATATTATATACTTAGACGATCAAACAACGAAATCGAGTATTGTAGTGCGGTAGAAGGACGTGAGAGTTTACATTTCGTACGTGTGCGCATTATTAGAGCGTCGTCATCGGTCGGCACTCGACAACGGGCGATACAGTTTATACGCGGGGGTAAAAGTGAAAAAGCTGCTGCCGATAATTACAAAGGACTTTTGCACCCCTTCGGAGCGTCGTGACGAAAACCGCCGGATTGAGCGTCGGTGGCGGGGGGCGGGTGTGGGGGAGGGTTAAACCTCGGCGAGGGACCGGCGCTGCAGACGTCCTCGGTGACGCTCGTGTTTACGCCCCGGGCGCAACGGTCGTGTTTGGTTTGTTCTAATTAAAAAAAAAAATAAAACCCACGGACTTCCGCCACATCCGTTTTCCCTCTGCTTTCGTCACTCTGTCACGCATACACCACAGTCCCTCTATACATAATACTATGGTCTCCGTGTAATTATACATCCGTTTTTTTATTTCCGCCAGCCGCTGATTCACGCGTGTTTGATTTGTGCGACTTTTTACGTTTTTTTCTCCTTCGCTTTTACACGACTATTACACGACAAATTATTCCATCAGTCCCTCGCACGTCGTCGTCCCTTCGTAAAATATGAGGCTTTACTACACCCGTCACACCTGAGCTGTTTTCCGTCATTTGCCAACTCGACTCCGGAACGGACGGACTTGTGGTTCCCGAGAGGTTATGCTACACAGTGATTAGGTTTTCATTTCAACTGACATTATTTGTATGATATAATAAGCCCATACAAAATATGTATACTTAACCACTCGTCGAAATGATAATAATATCTATAAATCTCGATCCACGTAAGTGTGTAGGCCAATGGAAGTCGATGAATTTGAATTTTTTTAGTAATGTTCATTTGGATTATGATTGAAGGCTCGGTGTGGTGCTCTATAATTCAAACACTTTCTATGTCAACGACTTAAAGCTACGCGTGAGCTCTATTTTATATATAGTAATTCAAAAATTGTACTAAAATATAGTTCGTGCCTCTAGTGTACCTTCAGAAACGCGAATTTCAGTCGATAACTTATTTCACATTTGTATATACTCAACGTGTTAAAGCACATATTATATATTATTATAGTTGTTTGAAAAATGGAAACGGTGAGCTTAATGAAAATAAAAATAAATACACAAAATGTTCCATGGGAAATAAAAAATGACATTCGCCAGCACGATCGTAGTGAAACAATATCGGGTAAAATTGCCGACATATTTCGGACGGAATCTGATGTGACGGAGCTATATTGTCCGGGTATAGGTAATTGGTATACACTGTCAGCAATACAGAGGAGCAGGACAAAAACCTGAGCAAATCATCGTTGCGCCCTGTGTCCGAGGCGGCCTGCGGGGGTGGACCGGGTGAGACTAGGTCATCATATTCGCCTAGGTAGGTACACGAAACACACTCGTGAGCTTCGCAATAGAGCGGGGTAGGTACCGATACAACAATGACTTGTTATCATCTCGATATCATATATCGTGCACAACGGTCAAAGTCTTGCGGTTTTACGTTTTCCCGCACAGCGGTCATTATAAACGTATTATATGCGGAAGCAGGTGCGCGTCGTCGATACAGGTTGGGCCTATCTTATGCGCATTATATATATATATATTGACTTCCGGGTCGTCCGGTCGCGCGTCTACATTGCATTGTAATAATGTAGTGCCGGCAGCGTGGGCCCGGTGCAGGTGTGAGGAAGTGGCGGGCAGTGATTCCAAACGAGTGGCGTGCACGCACATCCCTCCCGCGCCGCAGTGGCGTCGATGACGGAAAACCCGACGCCCGCGAGCAGTAGCGAAAATATAAGGGTGCGAGCGACAGTCGACGATTATTCCGTTCCGCACATTATTATATTATTGTGATGTATTATATTAAAATACGATGTACAACCGTCATCGCACGTGTATAGGTACCGCACGATACTATATATTATTATATACCGCATACCGGTTATAATATCATATTTACTACATGTGATACAATAGCGCACCGAACCGGAGCTCTCGTGTTAATTACGAGTACCATTGTGTCCGCGGTGTGCGGATTCGATTTCCGATGACACGAGGAGGGTACACTCGAACATAATACGCCATATTATACTACAACTTCAGTACTGCACATACGACACCACCGCCCGACACATTAACACTCTGCTCGTTGCACATGTATAATATTTTTATATATTTTACTTCTTGTGTGTTTTCGATATCGTGGGGCGGTGTAGAACATCAACAGCAGTGTATACATGATGATATTATTATAAATCGCATCGCATAATCGAGTTACGGACGTGATTAATCAAAGTGGTGGTCCACGACTTGTATACAACCACGACTAGCCATGACGATCATAATAATAATAATAATAATAATAATAATAAAATATAGTGTCGGGGAAGGGTTTCGCCGTTGCGGTTATAATATATTATATTATTATTATGACGATCGCCCACGGTTATTGTTATTACTATTATCATTTTTTTTTTTAAATTTTTAATCTGTTTAATTGGCGAACCGGGTCCCAGATGCGATGCGGCGCACCGGCCGACGTTAGCCCCGCGGAAATTACCGGCCGCAGCTGATGGTCTCCCCGCTTCATGACGCTGATGATTACCGCCAACTATCCTATACCGCCGCTCACTGCACCACAACCGACTACAACCACTACTACTACCGCGGTTATGATAGGTACTGCAGCCGCGACGATGATGATGATGTTATATTCTCATCGTCACTTGCCCGCGACTATATACGAACCCCAAGGGTCCGATTCTTCTTCGTTATCCGTCGACGACAAACTTTCACGAACGCAATAATTATCATCATCATTATTATTATTATTATTATTATTATTATTATTATTATTATTATTATTATTATTATTACGACGACGACGACGCAACTGTTCAGGCCCTGTCAGATATTTTGGCCATCACTTTAATGTGATAAATATACTACACTTATCATAGTGACTCGACCGATGTTTTATTTTTTAGCAAATTTCTTTAATATAGCACCTACCTATTTTAAAAGAAAAAAAAATGAAAACCGTAATAATTATACCGGTATAACGCTGATAAGAGTTAAAAAGAAGTTGAAGAGCCATTGCTATGGTAACTCCGATTTGCTTTTTTTTGATACCTATTTTCGAATCCAAAAACACAGCAAAATACAACAGCGTCAAAGAAAATGAAAATTCGATGAACTAAATTGTTTTGTACGAACTGAAATACTTAAATTTAAATTTGATTCTTGCATGTGGATCTAAACTGTTCTGTAAAAAGTAACTGTTGTAATTGTACCAAATTTCGGTTATTTTTGGATCTCTGTTGTTATTGTGATTTGGTCCTATTATATTTACAAAATCGATAATAATTGAATTCCCAATAAAAAGTCTAAAA